ACTTCTAGTACAATCTTGTTAATTTTGTTAAATCTAAGAAATTTATTATTTTAATTGTAAAATTGTGATGATTGTTTATTGAGTTATCTGAACGAATTTTAAATAAAATAAAATCTATGTTAAAGAAATTTTTGTTAGACTTTTCTTTAAAAAGTAGAAACATTTTTAAACATTAAAATGTTATTTGTCTCTGTATTTTTTAACAAAAAAAGGAATTTTAGTTTCATTAGTTCGCTTACTTTCAATTCATCACTAATTTTTAATTTTTGGATTAAATTAGTAAGATCTAAACTAATTTTATTGATTAAGCGCAAACCAAGCAAAGGAAATAGAAGAAAATGAAAAGCTTTTTCATCATTTTTAGAAGATCTTACAAAATTAATTTTTAAGAATCCAACTTAAGTGTAATTGATATTCTATATAACTTCCAATATAAAAAAATAAATTGCTCTAAGATTCTTTACATTATAGCTTAGAATTAAAGAACCACCAAATTATTCTCAAATAAATAGGTTAAAAGAGTCTTTCTAAATCAAAATACTACTCGAAAGAAGACAAATTTATGCTCGAGCTCAATGAACTATTTAGTTAAATCTGATTTCTTGAGATTTACATTAAATTTATGGTATAACAGATATGAAAAAATCTAAATAATTCTACAGCTAAGTTTAAATGTATATTTGTTCAGTAATATTTACTAGAAAATATTCCAAAAAAGAATTAAATTTGTATTCCTATTAAGGATGAATATCAATTTCAGATCATATAAAAGTTTGAAAAACTATTAAAAAGGTATAGATTTAATAATTTAGATTTGCTTAGATAAGAACAACTTAAAATTAGGATTTTAGAGTGGAATAAATGTATGATGAAAGTCTGATAATCTCATATATTTATTTCGATAAAGGTGATATATCATAAATCAATTAGATATTTCTAGGAGAAATTTAAAGAAGTTAAGAGCTCACCATAGGAATCAATAGAATTCAAATTTTCATTAAAATTCAGTTCGATTTAGTTAAAGAAAAAAAATACAGGAAATGGATCATAAATAATATTTCTTGAAATGTACTGTTCTTTTGAAATTTCTGTTAATGGAAGCTAAGATGAGATTATTAAAATTTAAAGCTTGCATTTCGGGTTTAATAAATAAAGATGATGTACAACCTATTTGTGTAAATTATATAAAATGAGAAGGATTGATGATTATTTTCTAAGACTTCCCTTAATAATTTTTTATAATATGGAGTTTTAGAAAATTTTCTTCTTATTACAGCATAGGAAAGTTAGATTGAATCATGTAGTGAATATTTAATATAGATTGGAACTATTCGTTTTGATAGATAGCCCCAGAATCATTTTCAATAATTTTATTCTTGACTTAGATAACTTATGTATAACTAATGCACTCTTTCGAAAATAAATATATAATATTTGAAAGATAGAAATTGAATATTTAATGGTTTAGATTTTACACTAATTATCTTTAGTTCTTAAGTTTTCGTAAGGATATTATGCGTAAAAAAATAAAAAATTATGATCTACATAAAGATAATTAATATCTTTGGAATTAATGTTTCTTTATATAATTCATATCTCTTAATCGAAATTGGTCTAAACGGTGAGTTAAACATATTGATTGTTTTATTCTTTATGCTTAAATCTAAAATACTATGGTATATTACTATTTTCTTAGAATATTGTTTTTCTTGAATAGAATTTATCTGATTTTTCCTATAATTTATTTTGATTTTTCTTCTTTTTATCTCCATTTATTTAGTCTATTTCTAAGAAATTTTGTAATTGCAAAATTAGNAATTTTTGGATTAAATTAGTAAGATCTAAACTAATTTTATTGATTAAGCGCAAACCAAGCAAAGGAAATAGAAGAAAATGAAAAGCTTTTTCATCATTTTTAGAAGATCTTACAAAATTAATTTTTAAGAATCCAACTTAAGTGTAATTGATATTCTATATAACTTCCAATATAAAAAAATAAATTGCTCTAAGATTCTTTACATTATAGCTTAGAATTAAAGAACCACCAAATTATTCTCAAATAAATAGGTTAAAAGAGTCTTTCTAAATCAAAATACTACTCGAAAGAAGACAAATTTATGCTCGAGCTCAATGAACTATTTAGTTAAATCTGATTTCTTGAGATTTACATTAAATTTATGGTATAACAGATATGAAAAAATCTAAATAATTCTACAGCTAAGTTTAAATGTATATTTGTTCAGTAATATTTACTAGAAAATATTCCAAAAAAGAATTAAATTTGTATTCCTATTAAGGATGAATATCAATTTCAGATCATATAAAAGTTTGAAAAACTATTAAAAAGGTATAGATTTAATAATTTAGATTTGCTTAGATAAAAACAACTTAAAATTAATATTTTAGAGTGGAATAAATATATGATGAAAGTCTGATAATCTCATATATTTATTTAGATAAAGGTGATATTTATAAATCAATTAGATATTTCTAGAAGATATTTAAAGAAGTTAAGAGCTCACCAGAGGAATCAATAGAATTGAAATTTTCATTAAAATTAAGTTCGATTTAGTTAAAGAAAGAAAATACAGGAAATGGATCATAAATAATATTTGTTGAAATGTACTGTTCTTTTGAAATTTCTGATAATGGAAGCAAAGATGAGATTATTAAAATTTAAAGCTTGCATTTCGGGTTTAATAACTAAAGATGATGTACAACCTACTCGTGTAAATTATATAAAATGAGAAGGATTGATGATTATTTTCTAAAACTTCTATTAATAATTTTTTATAATATGAAGTTTTAGAGAATTTTCTTCCTATTGCAGCATAGGAAAGTTAGATTGAATCATGTAGGGAATATTTAATATAGATTGGAACTATTCGTTTTGATAGATAGCCCCAGAATCATTTTCAATAATTTTATTCTTGACTTAGATAACTTATGTATAACTAATACATTCTTTCGATAATAAATATATGATATTTGAAAGATAGAAATTGAATTTTTAATTGTTTAGATTTTACACTAATTATCTTTAGTTCTTAAGTATTCGTAAGGATATTATGCATAAGAAAATAAAAATTACTATTTACATAAAGATAATTATAATCTTTGGAATTAATGTTTCTTTATATAATTCATATCTCTTAATCGAAATTGTTCTAAATGGTGAGTTAAACATATTGATTCTTTTATTCTTTATGCTTAAATCTAAAAATACTATAGTATATTACTATTATCTTAGAATATTGCTTTTCTTGAATAGAATTTATCTGATTTTTCCTATAATTTATTTTGATTTTTCTTCTTTTTATCTCCATCTATTTAGTCTATTTCTAAGAAATTTTGTAATTGCAAAATTAGATTTAAAAGCTGAAAACATATTGATGAGTAAGGAAATAACTTGTACTTTGTGTTTGATAATATAAGTATTTAGAATATTCATAATAAATGGATAACTCAATATAATACTATCTACAATGATAAATGTTTGAATTATTGCTGAAATATTATGATTTTCTTATTATTCAGTTATATATTTGAGAACTGCTAAAAATATTGCAATTGAGCAAAATTATACACTTTAATTATCTAATTAATTAAGTTTTTTAAGAATATAAGGTTGATATTTATAGGAAATCAATTAGTAAAACAATAAGCAAAGGCTTAATAATTATGCTTTAAAAAATATGTCAGTTTAGAAATATATTAAGATAAGAATGATAATAGTTTTCTTCCATAATTTTATAATTTCCCAAAAATAACTATTTTAAGTATATTCATTAAATAAATATCCTAAATGTCTCCGAAACTTTATTTTATCATGTTAACCTCTATTGGTGTACAATATAAAAAATATTAATAAGGGGAAAATTAATCCAATTAAGATAGATCCAGGTATTGAAAATCCATATATCCAAGATATATGACTTTTAGATCCATACAATAATGATACATCAGCCGATATGTAATTTATTTTTGAAATCTATCTAACAACTAAAATAGAAAAAAATCTAATTATTATTAAATATTATTACTGATTAAGTAAAGAAGCATAATTTTGTACATACATTTATAAGATAGTAATTGAAATAATTAAGCTTTTGAATTTCGTGTTTTTAATTATTGAAACAATTTTAAAACCAATAAAGATTACTAATATTTAACAAAGCATAAGGACTAACATAACTATGATTCTACTATAAATTAATTCTATCTCTTATATTTCAGACAAAAAACATTCAAAAAAATTGGTCATAAAATATGAAGTATCATTTGATTATTTAAAAATACCTAAAGATATGGTTAAGTTAATATTAAATGTAAAGATGAGTGAAAATATCCATAAATAATTAAGTAATAATTTAAATAAAATACTTTCATGATCTAAATATATAATATAATTAAATTAATACCTTAATTCAGTTTGAATAAAATATGAGCAAACTTTTATCTAAGTTTAAGTTATGCAAATAATATATTGGATTTTTCTATACTCCCAATAGTTAATAGTGTTGATAAAATAGCCCTATCATTTATTATAATTTTCAATACCATATAGAAATCAAAAAAAATGCTATCAACCGTTTAGTAGTATCCTAACATTGCTCACACTCTACTGATTATTAATTTTTAAAGAATTATCCTTCTCCTCTTATATTAAATCTATCACATTCTTCACAAAGTCCTCCTAAATGTCCCTTAAAAAATAGTTCATTATTAACACCCCAACCTCCTTAACAAAGATTTTGGTTTTTATAACATAATTCTACATCATCTGAAGTGTAATGTGGTCTCCAATATCCAATTTTTAATAGAATTTTATTAGATGTAATTGCTTCAAATTTATTTTTATCAAAAATTGAACATTTTGTTGTATTATATGTGACTGAATAAAACCCTTGTTCTGATTAACATTATTGGCAACTCGAGGAAATATAAAACTCCCCTAATTAACAGAGAAAGGCTTTAACTCTCATTAAATATGCTAAACTCTCATCATAATAATTTGTTTTACAATTAATTAAAACTTCTTAAACTTTGTCATCTTGCTAAAAAGGATCCATAATAAAATCTAAAAGACCTAAGTTAAAACTTTTTGTTTCATTTTCAAAATTTATTTTCGATATTTGGGTTGATTCCATTACTTTTTATTCTTATATATCAAATAATTATTGTATTATATTACAAGAAGTGTTTAAAAAATTATTTTATTGTTCATTCAAGCTATTTTTAAAGAAAATCCTAAAATCATGAATGTAAGATTAATAATTCTAAAGCTTAGGATTATAAAGTTGATATTTTGATATTTATTGACCGCTTGGAACAAATAAAAATTATGCATGTATTTAACGATCTTATTATATGATTTTATATGGTTTTAAAATTAATAATTATACTGGATGATGTTCAATTGTTTCTTATTGAGAAACCATTTCTATATGATTAAGAAATAAAGATAATCTTGAGGGTGATTCATTTAAATTATTAGAAAATTATTAAGCTTCATTTAATATGAGTAGAGATTAAATAAAATTATTTTGATTTAATCTGTTATTTCCACTTAAATATAATCCCCCTGCTTCATCTGCTTAATTGTTACAAATTGCTGTAAATAATATTTTAAAGTTATAATCACTTAATTCAAAATAGATACCACCTCCTTTCTGAGATGCTGTATTCTTAATAATATTTGAATTTGATATAAGAATTCTTAAATTTTAGACATAAATACCTGATCCTAAACTTCCGTCATTAGAAATAAAAGTTGACTGATCAATTAACATTTTACCTTCCAAATTATCATTTGATTTTGCTGCTATACAACCATATTATTTTATTTTGTTTTTCATACAATATAATTCTTAAACTTTAATTTTCTCTACATTTATAATATCAAAATACAATAAACCATTCCAACAATTATTGCAGATATTATTAAAGATTATAATTTTAGTTAATAAGACCCTTGTTAAATTTGTGATACTCTTTATCCTAATGAATGATCCATTATGATTTGACTTTGAAATAATTTCATCAAAAAATGCATCAACAAATTCTTATTTTTTAATTTATTGGATTATTTATTAATTGTTTAGATTACAAAGAACAAATTTTAAATGAATATGATCCTGCTTATAAAAAGTTAAATTTTTAGTTAAATTCTAATATTTGAAATCAATAAAATTTGAGATAATAATGTTATTAATAGTGATTGTAGATTATAAAATATTGTTTTATTATATATCTATTAAATTTAAGGGATAAAAAGTTGAAATAAAAAAAAATTGTAAATGACCCAATTTTATAGAATTTGAATCTCTAATTTTGATTATTGAGGATAAAATTATTCCCTCTATTCTTAATCCTATTAACTATATTTGGCATCCTAAGAAATTCATCATTGCATTGTCATCAATAAATTTTTGTAGTTCTAATGAACTAATTTTTCCAATCGATTGAAGGAATTTAATTAAAGTTTATTCATTTTAAACAATGCTAAGATTTTCAATAAAAATTTTATTCTTATTTGCATTTTAAAATTCAGATTAACAATTAATTATTGAATTAACAAGAGAAAAGCAATTTTTAACAATGATATTTTTAAATCTAATGTTATTTTATTTCAATGATGGATATATTGAAAATATGGATGACGATAGTTTATTATATACATTTTCTAAAGTAATATTTTCAAGTAATATTTTTAATAAACTTTTCCTGCCATTTATGGTAATAGCTCCGTCATTTTCAGAATTTGAAATTAGTGAATTTTATGCATTAATAATGCTACAATTATTTATGATACCAATTCCCTCTCCTTATAAATTAATGTTAAGAATTGAATTGCTTTCAGCTAAAATGTAACTAAAGAATCCTTTATTAATTGTAAATTTTGAAACAAATATTGAGAAAATACCTCCAATATTCTATATTTTATAAGTTTATTGAATTGCATAAGAAATTTCATCATAATTGTATTCTCCTAAAAATTGAACATCATAATATTTTATCCAAAGTTCTTTGTTTAGCCAATTATGATGGAAGACAGTAATATTTTCTAAATAAACTTCCTCTGAAGATATTGAAATAAATGATTACGAAGAATTTGTCATAGAATTATAAATGCATAAAATGTGTTTCAGAATTATAAAACTTTATTTTGTGTCAAAATACATCAAGCTGGCTTAAGTTTAAGAGGGATCTGTTTAATATTAATGGAAAATATTTTCTTCAAAAGTTAAATTATTTATTGCTATATTTAAAGAATTTTTTGAATAAAATTCCATTAAAGAAAAAAGTATACCTAAATTCTGCTTTAGTAAAATGTTTCCCTTCATTATAGAATTTGATATAATTATAAATTCATTTTAATTTGATGTATTCAAAGGATTTGAATAAATTGATATTAATGATAAATCCACACTAAATTAACTTTTCACTTGTATATTCTTTATAAAAATTCTATTAAATCCAAAAATTTAAAGTAATTGTGACTG